GCGAGTTACGGAGTCTATTTCAATTCAACTTGTTTGATGTCAAGTCGTTGCGTAAACTTGTTTATCTATTAGTCATTTTGCCTCATGTTTTTGTAGTGTATTTGCAGTAGTGTGGGAGAGACTGCAAGAAATCCTTAGCATTGTAGTGCAACCCTAGATTGTCGATAAAGCGTAGGTGCAAGTGTGACGACAAAAACTAAAACTGAAAATAAATTGGCGCGAAACGCCTATTAGCGCTGTGCTTGGGTGCTATACATGCTGGGATACCGCATTGCCATGCCGCAACTCCGCAAGTCGCATTTGTAAATAGCTGATTGCGATTATTATCTAAGGAAGTCTTCGTAGTTTAGTCATGAAATAGCCATTTTTATTAATTCGATAATTATGTATAATTTAGGGACTTATGCCCATAATTAGTAACCGATCAATCTTTATCCAAAAACTGGAGTCGGGATTGATCATGTGTATGACATAAATACAAGATTTATAAATATCTGGAATCGAAATTGCTTTATTGTCAATAATATCAAATACTAAAAGCTTATATAATATCATAATAAGAATATCAATTCAAGTACATACAATTATAACATTAAAATGAATAAATAAATAAATATGCATGTACAACTTAAGGTACACTATAACTAAAAGATAAACAACCAGATAAAAGATAAGATCAGGAATCAATTTTAAACACTTGACATTTGTAAATAAACAATTCTGGAAAAATAGTAACTTATAGTTTGACGCAATGTATAACAGAACATAATTTATTCCAACGTTATCTACTCGATTGCAGAGATTTCCGGTAGTCAGTATTTATCTCTCCATACATTCAGCCATCTAGGTATGTAATATGTTTTAATCGAAACGAGTACGTAAACATGTCACGTGTTAAATCCAACCGCAGCTTAAATTGAATTTAACTCGAGCCACGACCTGTCAACTTATCGAATATAAATTCTCTTAATAATCGTTACCAATTACGTGAGCGTTCGGCCTCGTACCGCACTATCAATCTTTGCAGAAATGCTGTAACGAGCGATTACTACGAAGGATTAAGATCTTTTTGTGGTGGCATGTAAGGGAGAAAATGAATTGTCGAATAGTACTTTGATTGGTCTTTTTGGCCCGTAGCGACGTCGTCATGAGGCGCGCCAGCCGGTCCGCCGCGCCGGCACCGCGAGTAATGTTGGACGTTATGAAACCATCGCTGACAAACAGCAAATAAGAGTGGCCCTAGACAAGCTCGCCGGTCTTTGTCGCCAATTGCACAAATATGTACTAATAATATAATGAAATGGAATTTAAATCAGCCATACAATCGCGCAATAAACAGAAGTTTGTCAACAGACTAACTACCCGCTTAATAGTTTAGTTGTTGCATTGCATTTATACGTTTTGTTAACACTCGAGTTCGTTGCTAATCTGTCTAATAATATGAGAATAGAATGACTCATAAGAGGAAAAACAACTAGTTTTTTTTAGAACTCGATCAAATAATTAGTATTGTGTAAATGTGTACCTAACTAATAAATTTGTAAGACTATATTTGAACAAATATGGTGGTCGACAGTTACAAAAAACCGAGAGGCATAAACTCCGATTTGGACGTGATTAATCATCACACTTTTAAGAATGAATACAGTAGTTGTCACATGTAATAAATAGGTTTAAAAATAAAAATGTTGATATTGCTACTGTTAAACATAAAAGGTTGTCAAAATTACGTAAAATCTGATTTCTTTAAATTCTGATTCAGATGAAAAATAAAGATTTTCAGTTAAAAGAAACCACGACTTGTCCATGTAGTATCCCGCGATTGACACTTGATTCAAAACACCTTTGAATAACAATAACAGTACTTTTTATAATACACAAAAAACTATAAAATTGACATGGACAAATTCGACGATCATTTTGCAAATAAAAACTAATTTCGCCAATGACATCATTGTCTGTCGTAACTTTGAATATTTTGGGTAGATACATACGAAACGTACGAAATAAACCTATATATTTTGTAATAGATAATTTTAATTGAGTAGTTTATTATATATCACTTTCGACGTAGAAAGTAAGAGTATTATATATCGATTACTGTTACATATTATTATCGTTCATTCCATAGATAATGAGAACGTGTATTGATTTCGTGTTGCTGACTCTTGCCACGCGAGTTGCGACTATCTGCTACAGAGACGGAGGCGCGACGCTCGACAGTCTGTCACAGTCAAGTTCACGGCCTCCCCGACCAACGTTCCACAACATTTCCTCGTTCTGTCTCGTTACTCTTTATTTATCATCTCGATATATTGAATCGAAAGCATTGCAATTGATAGCCTTGTCTCACAGCTTACTTACGAGAGCCAATTACTTTATTGTTCTTTTATTGTTTTCAGATCTCCTTCAATTACAGTAGATAATACGTAAATACCGCTTTATAGTTCCTTGTTACGATTGAAACACGTTCCATCACGGACCGCTTGACAACGAGGTCCTTTTTTATGTACTGTCCATTATAAAATACAGTCGATTTAATTTGAGCTATGTTTCGATGTGTTCAGCCATTCTGAAGCGCTCCACGTGTATTGTTCTCGACATTAGGCGCGGGGTCGACGACCATATCTAGCAAATGTTTGCCGATCTTATGGCAAAAATGGATTTAACATAAACTTATGTATTGTATCTTACAACATTTTATGAATAAATTAAATTAAAATTATCTACCTCATGTTTCGAGCAGTGGTATTTTGGAGGCTGCTTATGTTTTCGGTTTTTCAAATTTTCTTGTTGTTTCGTTTGTGATTCAAAAGGTCTTCTACTTAGACACAGTGGTTTAATTTTTCATGATTTGAACAAAATTTTACTCAGATGGAAAGTTTGTACAAAATAAAATGCCGTTACGCATTTTGAACTCTTCTACTCATAGAATTGAACCTTCTATAAAAAGTTGTTTACTAGTTAACTTTTTAGGTACTTAAACCACTGGTTTTTATCTACGGTTTATGACCACTATAGTTGGACATGCCAGTTTATGATAGCAATTAAATCTGATGTCATTCAAAATGTTCAATCTTTAATCAATTATTATAGTAAATATACAAAACATGATCGAGTCGGTGCCACATTTTCCGTTTGTTTGGCGCTGGCTGTCAGATATAAATCTCCGTAGATCACGAGGTCGTTAATGTGATATTCGTGTCGGCGCCGTCTCAGATAGGTACTGTTATCCCATTGTCGATTCAAATGTTCCGCGCTTTCATATTTGTCTATGTACAGCTATTGTAAGATTTAGTTCCGTGCAAGTCAACAGATCGATATCTCTTCAATACATGTACTTATAGGTAGCATTACGAAGCTTATAAACGCATTTAAATAGTTCTGCTTTTCTAATCTCATAGATGTATGTGCGATAGTTCATTATAATCTGAATCAATTATAATCTTTTCGTTTTATTTTATACTCAAACAATTTCTGCCAAGTGTCCGCAATCATTAGATGTGACTCAGAATGGGAGCTGTTCCGTGTTAACGGCAGTTTTTTTTTTTCAATAGGCACACGACATGAACAGTTGCAAATTAAGGTATTTTTGTATTAAATTGGTATAAGTACTTGGGGTTAATTCTTACCTGAGCTGTCTACACGAGCTGCCTGCTTGTGGGACTTAGGGTCGGTACTCGGTTGTTTCCGTTGTATTTGATATGCTAGCCGTGATAAGACCGGCGACCACGCGACACTTGCTCAACCCCTTCCAGTGTCGAGGGTTGGTCGCCCTTCCGCCTTATTGATTAGCACCCTGGGAGAATTAACTTAATGGTGAAAACAACACACACGTCGCCACATCGTTCACTCATACGTACGTTACCAGCTATGATAAAAACATTTGGGTTTTTTATTTATATGAAAGCAGCAGTTTTAACGACAAAATTACTGTGTAGAGCTATTAAGCGACATTTGTACTGAAGCCACTAAAGTGCGCAAACAATAGAAAAACTTTATTTTGTTTCAAATCAAAACTGAGTTTTCTATTTTAATTATGAAACAATGCCCTTTTATTTAGCTAGAAGTTTCCACTTTAGGTTCTTCGTTAAATGTTTTATTAGAACTGCCACAATTCCACTAGCATTTACAGGTCTCATACAAATTTAAAATAATCAGAAATGAAATTATACATTTCATTATTATGAAATGTTTGCCGGTTCATTAGACTCTAACGGATCCGTGTGCTTATTGAATTTCTGCGAACCAAGTAAATGGTAGTTGATAGAGATAGGGCCATTCCCTATTATTAGCTTATAGTAAACCGTGCGAGCGCGAACCAGTTACACCGATCGAGTGTTACTTAAGTTAAATAATACGAGTATGTTGTAAATCCCTTGCTTTCATTGTACTATCGAGAATCGTGAGTTGTACATTCATTCTTGAAAAGGCAATCTGGGAATAGAAGGACAAATACATGCGCGGTCCACATAATCGTTGCTGCATGCTATGGCTCAACTCCAAACTAATTAAGTGCATTATAGCCGCAGTCACGTTTATATTTCAGAACATGTCAAATTAAAGTTGACTTTACAAATGTATGTGTTTATAAGGCTCGATTGGTGATCGTTAAATTTTATGCAGCTGTGTATGAGATCTGAATGGGTACTTACGAGTGCTAAGGTGTGTATTGCGGTCAGCGAGGAACTTACTCGCTGTGTTGCGTCACCTCGCTGTCGGTACTGGTTGCGCCAAATCAATCTTGGGCGCTAATCGCACCTCTCGCCGTCTCGTTGAAATACTTAGCAATACCAACTTATTACAACTACGTTTGATCTAACCAAACCAACTGCTAACCGCATAATAGGTACATAATTAAAATAATTTCATGTAATTTCAAATTGAATATTGATTTGATTTATACGCAATAAAATTGAAATGCTAAAGTATGGGTTCTATTTAGGATAATAAAATATTTTTCTTCATTTTCGTTAAGTGAGCTATTATTATTGTTTTAGTTCGCTTCGGGTGCGACGGAGAGTGTGGCGTGTGGAACTAGTTCATCATCGTCTAGTTCCTCGTCATCTTCGTCGTCATCATCTTCATCATCATCGTCGTCTGACTCGGACACGGCAGACGCTGCTGGCGGGTCCGCTCATGCTTCGCCTGATGATTCCAATGCCGTGCTGGCCGCGGACTGTCCGCTACAAGTAAGTGCATTAATGCATTAACTTTCATGAAGATCCTCATTACTTTTACGACTCTGTAAATCAAACATTTCTAGCTATTTCCTGCAACATAATTCTTTTCATTTTGAGTGAAGTTAAAAATATCAATATGATGGGATATATTAGGGCACGTGTCCCTCATACAGGACCCACCGTACTCGTCGTACCTAGAAAACATTGCATAGATAGGTAGAGGCGGCAGTCTGTGTTTACTGTGTCTATTTGGGGCAGTATACTGAAATATATTTTGCAGATCATCGACGATGCAGACCTTGCGGAACTATTTCCAGAACAAACATCGAGCGCGCCGGCGCAACAGCCCAATTTCTCGACCTTTGCTGTCCACAACGCCGCGCCGGATAACGACGACAAGTCGATTGCTGATAATGGTGAGAATTCTGTGCTGCAGAGTTGTAAAAACACTAGAGTCGTTACATTAGATTATACATTTTACCGTGATGTATTAATTTCAGGTGATGGATCCAGTAGTGAGATGGAACTTACACCACAGTTGGTGACAGCAGCAATACAAAGGGCAACGGCTGACTCGTCAGGGTCGGAAAATGAGTGTTCTAACTCTGCCACCGGCCATCAGAACACGACACATTATGCGTCCAGCCTGTTACAACAGTTCGTGGCCCAGACGCAGCTACTAAGCAGTACGGCGCCGTTAACATCAATCAACTCGGCGGCGACAACTTCGTTATCATGTGGATTAAATCCTACTACGATAGACGGAGTTGGCACCATCAGTGATTGTGTTCTCGGACAGATAAACACTTTACCGGAGATGGCACCTATAGCGCCAAACTTTTTATCATCAAGTCAACACTTGAGTCCGCAACAAACAGAAGAACTTTCCCAAAATTATAAAGATCTCGAAGAAATTACTTCTGTGGCAGATTCTGTGGATATATCAATCACTAATCCACCGAGCCTCGAAGATTGTGTTGATAATAATGACTTCATGACATTAGACATTGCACAAGGAGGCTCTGAACTGGGAAGTGCCAGCGATTTGATGAAAAGCTCGCCCATCACCGTGGTCGGTACAGATTTAAATAATTTAAGTCATATTGATTCTCAAAAGTTAGATACAATCAGTACGAATTCAGTTGAATCTCAAGAAGATGTTAAGAATGTTATAGTAGAATCTAGAAGAAAAAGAGGCAGGCCTCGAAAAGTTCGAAAAGCTGATGAATTTGAAAGCAAGGGTATAGAATCTCATAAAGAAGCTAAATCTGTAGTAAATGTAATAAATTTCCACAATAATAACGACCCACCAAACGTGTCACCGGATTCGGGAATTCTGTCGAATCACAATTCACCAACACATTCCCCATTACGACGGCACGATGTAGATGAGGGCCACAGTAGAATTGGTAGAAAATCTATTCAAAAAGAAAACACCACAAGAAGGGCAATGCGATCCAAGTCCAAAACTAGAAGTCGGGCACAAAATAGGTCTGATTCCAGTGACTGTGATTATCAAAAGAAGAGGATTGAGAACGAAATCAAACAAATAAAAACTGAAGCACCGTCACCAATCCCTTTAAAACAAGAGCAAAATAAATTTGAAAAGTCTAAGAAAAATGACCACAAACTAGATATAGCTGCTTTAGATAGAATGTTATACGCCACTGACAGAGTGTTGTATCCTCCCAGAAAAAAAGTAGGACGTAAACCACAAAGTAAAGCTAAGTCTACTAAAAATGCTCCTAAAACCTTAAAAGACAAAAATCAGTATGACTCTGGTGACAGTGATGAAGACTCAGTGGTACCTACTAATAGGTCGGTGCTGTCAGGAGTGTACGCTAAACGTAAAGAACTAAATAGCAAACTCGCGAGTTTACCCAAAAAGAACAATAAAACTTTTGGCAACACTTGGAGAGATAATCAGAGTGAAAATGAAGCAGCTGCAGATGATCCACTAGACCCAACGTGGAAGCAAATCGACCTAAATCCTAAATATAAAGACATATTATCGGGATATAAAAGTGATCATGAATTCAAACCGTATAAAAGTTGTAGTCGCCTCATAGAGTCAGGCTACAAGAGTGATTACGGGTGTCGATCTGGATATAAAAGCGATTACTACCGTTCAGGCTATAAAAGTGACCATAAGTCGGGTTACAAAAGCGATAAATCGGGATATAAAACGGACAACAGTGTCAGAAGTATGCGACGGCGAATGAGAAAATTGAAGAAGACTAGATCAGTGAGAGACAGGTCCTACTATAAAAATCAAAAGCACTTTGTATCAGATCAAGAGATACTAGTGTTGACAAATAAAACTTTTAGCAGCTTAACTTTAGGTCACAGTTCCAGTGATTCTGAGTGTGATAACTATTTGAGGAAACCCAGTGCTAGTCCAAAATATGTAAGTGTTTGCACAAAATATCCTTTGCCATCGAAATACAACTTCGGATTCTCAAAAATGAATCAAAAGCACATACTAAGACTGAATTCATCAGATCCGTTCGCCCCGGGACCTGTCTTTAGTGGTTTACAGCGACCAGTGACAACTTGTAATATATTCAAAGTGAGTAACAACAACAATAATAATACTTTACTCAAATCTCCAAATAAAACTGCTTACATCGGTAATACTTTGCCGGCGCTAAAACCCGCATTTACGCACAAGTTTGGTTCGTCGCCTATTTGTGTAACAGCTAAAGTTCCAGGATCGAAAAAGGAAAACGATAGCAGTTTTAAATACTTTCCGAGAACACTGTCACCAAAAAATCGAAAACAATTAAAAAATGGCAATGTTGTGTTTTCAAGTGGGTCAAAGAAAGAAACTCCGCCTAAACAGCTACCCAGCATTTTTGAGAAGGCGAAAAACAGTTATGTTCCGAATAAGTCCTTGTCAAGAAATGTCTTCCTGAATTTTAAGAAACCACACGTCAAACCGTCTTTCCATATCAGAAAACACAGAAGAACAGTTGTTTTAGCGCCACCTAAAATCAATTTAAAACCAACAGAAAGACTTTCCAGAGTAATTGTTAAAACAGAAAACAAGCATCATAGACACAGAAGTAAGCGGCGACACAGATCTCGGTCTGTCTCTAGATGTAGAGAAAGTTACACAAAGTCTATTGAACTTGTGGATCAAAAGTTCAGTCAGGATATGGACAATTTGATCTCTAATTTTATAAAGTTGTGTCAAATTGCACCAAAATTAATCACAAACGTGACGCAAAATCCAGTTAAAACAACGGAAAAGGTATCTACCGACGCAGCGCCTACTAAAGTGGTTAAAAGAGGATCGAAGAAACGTAAAACATCAGATAATCAAGAAATAGCTACGCCTACATCTAAACGAAGGCACAAGAAACAGCTGGCAGAATCTCAGAACAAGGGTGGCAAGGATACTAATGAACATAAACTCCCACTTAAAAAGCGCCATTATCATATCAATTCCTCTACTGGTAATTCATTAAGCCTTAGTTTAGTAACAACAGAGTTCGATGAGAATTCTAAGAATGGTACTAGCCCGGAGAAGTTTTTGTGTACTGAAACCGACTGCACAGGAGATGTTCAAAGCAATTCGTCTGAAGATTCACCTAAAACCAAAACTCCTTCAGAAAAAGGTAAGAAGGCCAGTGATAGTTCCAAAACTGCACAAAGCACAAATAGTCAAGACAATAAAATTCTGAGTACTGAACCTTCCTCGAAAGGTGCAAAAGCAGCTGAAAATATTTCAGAAAAAGAGGCAGAAAATAATGTTACTCCAACAAAAAATAACTCTTCGAATTCCGTACACGCAACTGACGACGAACTTTCTATCAAAAAACCAACAGCCGAACAGTCTGAACTTTCGAAGAAGATTTATGAGACATCAGAGAAATTGAAGGCGGTACATAAAATGGTTAATGATTTAGAAAAGTCTCTACCCAAGACCAAAGATCCTGAAGTTAAACCAGAATGCAGTAGTAAAGAAACCAATAAAGTGTCGTCACCAAGATCTGAAAATAAATCTTCGCCTACACGCCATTCTGCGCCCATTGTAACGCCTAAGAAGCGTCATAGATTAGAAGCAGAAAAGGTTATATCACACTCTAGCCTCGATCAAGTCGTACAGTCTTTATCTAAAAAGTTATCTGATGACAAGTCAGGTCCATCAGATACTAAAGAAACCAAGGATGTCAATCAGAATAACTCGAGTGATGATGCTAAAGAGCTGGACAAATCAGATGCCGTAACACCTAACAGTAGTACATCGTCCACAAACAGTACGACTATAGACCCGCTGAAGAGCATGTCTGCTCGCTCGTTGTACAAAAGTTCAATCCCGCCAGCCCAAAAATCAGAAATTATGACCCGCAAGAAAAACAGACTTGAAGGACTGACAAGTAATTTAGTTTCTAAAATAAACCCAAGTGCAGCTACTAAAGTATTAGATACTTTATTAAATAATAATATACGCAAATCAATAGAATCTCGTATTTTAGAAAAAGAGAAAAATAGTTCAGATCCTTCTGTTAAAGTGATAGAAGAAAAACTTAAAAACAAAGAAACATCACAAATTAACACAAGAGCTACAGTTATAAAATCCCCAGTGTCAAAGGGTAAAGTCCTAGAGACAAAGAAATCTAAAGCATCGGAACCTCAAGTTGAGCAGTCGATTGTCGTCAATATTGACAAACCCACAGGTATATTTGAGCCATCCATAGATTTGGAAGACCAAATACCAAAATCTTCAATTTGTGTAAGCAATATTTTAGCTGATGCACATAAAGCTAAATCGAAATCAAAGAGTGGTGACGGAAAGTCAAGTAATTCTTTATTAGCTCCCATTGATACTGAATCCGAGATACCGCTGGCGTTGATTTCGGAAACACCGGACCCAATAATAAGACCTAAAAGAGGAGAATCTATTGCTGCAGTGATATCGGATAAACTTCAGGAAACCACTGGTGGCCATAACTTGCGACAAACTAAACGAAATTTGAATACCGAGAGTGACGATCCAAATGACAATAAGAAAAAGAAGAAAAGTAATAATATCCTACGTGAGAGTAAACTGGTTTTGCCGGCTAGAGTTTTGGTTCCAAAAGTTCAAGCTGAACGTCTCGCAATTACAGATTCTGCTAAGAAAATAGGTCTGAACGCTAAAAAATTGGAGGCAAACGACTCTAGCGACAATAAGACGGTTGATGCGTCAAAAAAGAAAACAAGAAGACGCAAAGCAATTAATAGGACTGGCTTCCCTAGCATTAAAAGAAAGAAGAAGAAAGTTGAAAACTGTAATCTTACTTCTGATAGCCATTTTACATCTGATACTGACAACAACTCTGCATTCGAGCGGGTACCTAAAGATGGTGAAGCAATGAGTAGTTTCTTGGAACGTACCACTAGCAAAAAGGCTGAACTAAAAGTTGTGCTAAATAAGGACGATTGCCCTAAACAAGGTAGACTGACAGTAGTTGCTCTTGAGAAATTGCAAGGGAAAGATGTTGCTACCGACAATAACAATAAGGTAGGCAACATTCCTGAAGTTGCAGTGAGTGAGAAGAAAGTAATGAATTCATCTATTTTGAGGGCACCTGCGCTCCAACTGAAAAGTAAGACAGAGAAAGAAGTGAAGAACCATGTAAACAAATGGGAAGTGCTCAGTGAAACGGACAGCATACCATCACTGGCTAGCTCTCTCAGTAATGATCCTGAAGACAGTATACCTTTGAGCCTTTTAAATTTAAAACCTGATAAACCTATGAGTCGTTTAGATAATTTAGAAAGATTAAAACGTAAAACAAGAGCGATGTCACCTTCTCATGAAATCGAAGAAATATTTTCTAAGAGAAAAGTGGTCGAGAGAAATTGCAAAATCGGTTTAAGACCAAAATCGAGCCTCGCAGTCTTATGTCCAAGTGAACGAAGACAGACAAGGAGTTCCGATAACGTGGAAGAACCGAAACCTGCCAAGACTAAGAAGACAGACGCCAAGAAATCTGTAGCTGAGACTGAAAAAGTAACTAAACCTCTTTCTATTGCTAACAGAAGGAAGTCGAGGTCTTGTCAAGTTAACAAGAAACGAGAAGTGCAATCGAGTTCTCGAGAAAGTTCTCTGGACACCGTCGTCAGCCGCAAGTTTGATTCAAAGTCTCGTGAACCCTCATTGGACACTCTTGAAAATGATCCTTTACCACTCAATGAAAAAGAAATTGATTTCGAGAAGAGCATTGATGTATTATCCAAGAACATCATTTGCAAGAAACGCGTAGCTTCATCACGCGACGATAGTCCGGCGAGTAGTGTGGATAATAGAGATAAACCTGTTATATCGAAAAGGAATCCGCGGCTACGAAAGAAATTTTTGGCCGCTGGATTGTTTTCAGATTATTACAAGGAAGAGTAAGTTACTTTTCTATTATTTGTCATATTTAATAATATTCGGAAATGCGCTTACCTTTAATTTTTATTTCAGTCCCAGGCCAGAAGGAAAAGGAAAAAATCTGGTTACCCAAACAGAATTCCCGCCTGGATTGTTGGCACCGCCACCTTATTGCGAACGTTGGGTCCGTCGCAGATTGCAACATTTCTCATTGCCTTATGATATTTGGTGGCAGCAGCATTATAACCAACCTGTGCCGTCGTGGAACTATAAAAAAATCCGCACAAGTAAGTATATTCATATCTTTATTTTTCTATCTTTATCTTTATTTTCACTTTAAGTTCATACAATGAAGCAATAGTATTTTATGGAACAACATTATTGTCATTGTCACTTATGAATATTTAGTATCACAATAGAAACTACTCTTGGATGATCTAGTTTGAGTGAAAATACTTGTCTTGTTGTTTCAGACGTTTATTACGACGTGAAACCATCTGCCGAGGAATGTGAGAGCGTTGCATGTAACTGTGCACCATCATCGGGATGTAATGAGGATTGTATTAATAGACTGGTGTACGCCGAGTGCTCACCTCAGCTGTGTCCTTGCGGGTAAATACATAACATTAAACAATCTACAATTTTATATCAACTTTTCTTACATTACACACATAGGTGTATTCAGTAACACTTTCGCGAACGGTATAAAATTATTGTGTGTTACTTGCAGTGATAGGTGTAAGAATCAACGTATACAGCGCCACGAATGGGCATCGGGATTGGAAAAGTTCATGACTGAAAATAAGGGCTGGGGCGTGCGAACTAAACACAAGATCACTTCGGGAGACTTTATCCTAGAGTACGTCGGAGAAGTTGTCTCCGATAAAGAGTTTAAGGTGAGCATAAGCGAATTATTTATGCATTGTCTTGGCCCTATATCAAATATTTTATTCAAATAACATCAGACTCCAGTAACAGCTATTTAAATACTTATATTTTTATACAGGAACGTATGGCAACACGTTACGCCCGCGACACGCATCACTATTGCCTGCACCTAGACGGTGGACTCGTCATAGACGGCCATCGTATGGGCGGCGACGGTCGCTTCGTCAACCACTCTTGCAGACCTAATTGCGAGATGCAGAAATGGACTTCTAATGGTTAGTTTGAACATATTTCTTAGGTGTTAGCGTAAACATTTCAATAGCTGATAAACCGAAGAGATTTTTTTATTAAAACGTTACCGGATTTTTTAGTAAATGGAATATTTAATTTTCAGGTACCTTTAGAATGGCACTCTTTGCCCTCCGAGACATCGATCCCGGTGAAGAGCTTACTTATGATTACAACTTCTCGCTGTTTAATCCTGCTGTGGGCCAGGTATGTATTTTCGAGAATATGAATGTTATGTGGTACTAGTTCTGTGTTTCATATTTTTTGTGATTTTACAGCCATGTAAATGCGATTCCGAAGATTGTAGAGGTGTGATTGGGGGAAAATCACAGCGGATTACTAAACAACCAGTGAAGACTCAATCACGAACTCCATCAAATGCTTCGAATCAGTCTCAAGGCTCGAACGGCAACCAGCCACGTGTGGGTCGCCCAAGGAAGGCAGTGAAATGTAACAAGAAGTCTGAACAACAAGCTGTAAGCACGTGCGACATCAAGACCATGACTATACTCAAGTACCAACAACATCTGAATAAGTTGTGGCAGGAGCCGCAGATGAAGCCTCTCACTGCTAAAGAAAAGAACATCGTTAAAGATCGGCATTGCTTCCTTTTAAGGAATTTGGAAAATGTAAGTTCCTTTATGATCATAAACTAGCATCTGAATATGAGAAGTTTCTAACATTTCTTCGCACAAAACGGGCAGTTTTAATATTTAGTACTTATTTCACAGGTACGCCGTATCCGTGAAAGGCTGAATCTGGCACTCCCAGCGTCACCTCCTCCGGTGGCACCGACCGTATCGGCGGCGCCGTCTCCCGCGGCGGCGGCGTCGCCGGGCGCCGTGTCGCTGGGCGCCGGCGCTGTGTCGCTGGGCGCCGGCGCCGCCTGCACGGTGGACCCGCTGGCGCCCGCCCGCAGCGTCGACGAGGCGGGCGCACTCGCGCGTCTGCGCGCCTTGCGGGACGTCGCGCGCCCGCCCCGGCCCAAGGACGATCCCACACTGCCACGCGGCCAGAGACTCGCCATCGTCTTTAAAGCCATCTGTCGGCTACTGAAAGACCTCAAGGGTAAACAAATTAACATATAGCTTTGACTAAAACAATGCACTCAATACCACGATTAAAACAATACAATGTATTTTCCAAACTTATAGTACATAGTCTAAAATTGACATTTCTTCTAATTTTCCAGATGAAAAAGATCGGCCATTATGTACTCAGCTAGTCCGAGCAAAGGCAGAGCGTGGCAAAGTCCAGGACACTGGTCCAGCCGACTTCGCAGTAATCGAGAGCGAGTTGGAGGCAGGACATTACGACACGGTAGCTAAGTTTGATGCTGATGTCAACTCGCTATTGACAGCTGTGTTGCGAGAGAATGGTCGCCTGTCCACTATGGGAGGTGCTGCTGCGCAGATTAAAAAGGTAGGAAGGATTTTATGGGTATTTTATGTACTCTGTATTAAAATAACCCAAAAATAAGTACTAATGCTATAATTAATTTGACAGGCATATAATACCGCGAAGTCTGAATATGCCGATATGTTAACCAAAATACTTGGACCCGATGAACCTCTACCGACTGGATTCCTGCAAAAAACAAAGACTGGTAAATAAAAAAATTGTACATTGTTAATCACGGACTAAGTAATTTATATCAGATTTTTAGGCTATTGCCTACCTATGAAGTTCAAGGTAAATGCTGTCTCACCTGCGAGTGTCGTGTGTCCACAGAGGAGGTGATCATGTGTATCTGCGGGCTGCACGTGGAGGAGGGCCTCATGGTGCAGTGCGGCGCGCGCGCCTGCGGCGTCTGGCAGCACGCGCGCTGCATGGCCGTCGCAGACACGCGCGTGCCGCACTACTGCCACCACTGCCAGCCCGCCAAGGTACTCCACGTCTCTAAACCCTGGACGCCCCAATGCCTAATCCTTCAATTCTTGACTTGTAACTCCGCAGCTGTCTGTCTGCTCGTTAACCGCCTATTATATAGAACATTTTTTGAAGTTCGGTTATTAACGGAAATTCATTAGAACTATTGTCAATAATTTATTTCGACTTAACGATCTTTTAGTTAGTCATTATCAGCTCTAATTGACACAAATAAAATTTGATTTTACTCTTGAATTTACGCTCACGCAAATACATTAAGTAAACCTACTATGTTTTCTATAGGTGGATCGCGAAATACCTCTCGACGAGTACACGGACGAAGGACATCAGTTCTACCTGTCGTTGATGCGCGGCGACCTACAAGTGCGACAGGGCGACACGGTGTACGTGCTGCGCGACATTCCCATCGATGAGAAGAACCCTGACGTCAGCCAGCGACACGGCGACAAGGCCGATAAACCAGAGTCGCCTAAAACTAAACGAGTCGATAGAAAGAAGGTTAAGAATATTGCTAAAGGAAAAGATAAGACTGAAGAAACTACACAGAATAAGGTAATAAATTTTTACAAAAGTGTGATTAAATTAAACTCGCGAAAAGGCGGCGAATAGCGAACATAGTGTTTACATAATATGCGTGTTTGTTGTCCACCTCGTCATTCGTTTCGTTATTCGCACTAATGTGTAAATGTGGTATAAGGGGGTTGATTATACACATTACATGTATTTAGTAATTAATCTGTTCAGATGAATGTTCATAAATAATGCTTTTTTGTCTTTTCAGGAGGGTGAAGTACGCAAGCACACCTACCAGACAATTGGAGAAATCTCAGTGTCGGAGTTGGACATCTTCCGCGTGGAGAGGCTGTGGAAACACAAGGACACGCAGGAACGATATGTATACGGTCACCATTATCTCAGACCGCACGAGACTTTCCACGAGCCCACGAGAAAGTAAGATCTATAACATAACATCACGCTTTTTATCCCCGAAGGGGCAGTTAGAGGTGCACATTACGGCACTTAATGCCACTACACCCACTTTTCACTATTTTATGTTATGAGTCCCATTTAATAGGGGGTGAGCCTATTGCCATATACCGCACACAATTCCAGACTCCGTGCTACCACCGAGTTTTTTTTAAACTCAGTAGCATTTTGAACTAAATAAAGTAAGATCTTTATATTGTTATTTGAGTTTCATGCATATACGATTAGTTCTAGATAGAAATTAATATCAAAGGAGTTGTCTCGCTTTTTCTGATGTAGTAGAGTCAATTTAATGGCCTATTTGTTTAAAATTAAATGTGCGTGAGTAGTTGTCTCAATCAACTGATTAAGAACGAAACGTTTACGTACGTACACGAAAATGCACTCAAGTGCGTTTTCAAAGTTATTTAGTTCAATATGTTTTGATCGAATATATACGACTTTTTATTTAACTTTCAGATTCTTCCACAATGAGGTGATGCGAGTGCCACTGTACGAGGCGGTGCCAATAGAACTTGTGATGTCGCAGTGTTGGGTGATGGACCTCAACACATATTGCAAGGTAATTTATTTAATGTTTTATACCATAGTAACAAAGTTATTTTCGGACAAACAAAGCGATTGATATTGTATTAATAGATTTTGCTATGTTTAATTTCAAAATGATAATAATGTTAGAACCTCAAGCAAGGGTCATTTTCTCAAGTTATTTCAAGTACACTATTTTTGAGTAAATTAAATAACATACAATCCCTTGTCAGGGCCGGCCGGTGGGCGCGGCGGAGGCGCACGTGTACATCTGCGAGCTGCGCGTGGACCGCGGCGCGCGCCTGTTCACGAAGGTGTCGCGGCCCAAGTACCCCATCTGTACGCGGCCCTACGCCTTCGACCACTTCCCGCATCGACTCAAGATCACGCGCACTTACGCGGTCAGTATACAACACGTATTACTTATTCTTGCATTGCAGACTGCTCATGTGAATCCTAAATGTTTTGAACGACGTAGATTGAAACAATTTGTGTAGGATAAAAATAGAAATAATAATTTATTTATTTAGAGGGTCACCGACATAAATACAGCAATATTGCACAATGAAAATATCTTTGACTTTTTAACTTTCAATTAAGAGTGTATATTGTAAATGAGTATCTAAAAAATATGTTTTACTATTTCAAATATTTGTTGCAGCCTCACGAAGTTTCTCCAGAATACTTAAAAGGAAAAGCAGCTAAAAATGCCGCGGCTACAGAGAAAAGTAATAAGAATACGTCCAAGGACGTTAAAAAGAAAATGCCGGCTGTTGCTCTTTCGGAGACTACCAAGGTCAGTTTACTATAGATCTATTTTGATTTATTTACAAATGATACACTGAAATAACATAATGTTTATGAACTAGCTGTGCCCGCGCTTTGTCCGCGTGGAATAGTCAATATGTAGTCGTGATAATATGTAACCCTATATGTTGATGACTGAGCGAATGTGTAAAATGGTAGTGATTTATATTTGTTTACCACGTTGCGTGTCCAGAGCGCGGCGGGGCGCGCGGCGCAGAAGGAGCGCGTGAACAACATCGCGCGAGGGCTGCTGGCGCGGCTGGGCGCGCGCGGCGCGGCGCTGGACGCCAGCTACCTGCTGGCCCCGCGCCGCGCGCGCCGCGCCCTGTCCTGACGCTGTCTGTGCTGCGCCGCCAGCCAGCCTGCCGCCCCTGCCAGTACCCAGCCCGCCTGAATCGTCCGCTCGGGGACTGCATCATAGTTCTATTTTTACATGACGACGAGTCCGAGTATTGTTGTAGTTATTTATACGTGTCGAGTTAACATAGTGTAGGCTAATCAAATTATTAGTTAACGACCACTGGTGCGAACTGATGTTGAACGTTGAAGAGTTTTAATAGAGGTTAGATACGGAGATGTTGTTTGGGAGGTTGTTAATTTAATATTAGTGATTAATTATTATTATTCTTTTTTAATCATCTTCCGCTAGATTAAGAGTTAGAGGAAGTAGATTATGTTTCAATCGTCTGGTCATTTACACACGTGCTCGCAGCGAGAGGCGGGGCCCACTCTTATGCCTTACGTCACGCACTAAAATCTCTCTAATTTTTTATACATTTGGTTAAAATAAGTTGTACATAGAGTAGCGTAAGGTGGTTGGTTGTTTTATGTTTAAATCGAGATGATAATATATTGCTTACTGTACGGGCCGCTTGTTGTCCTCTGCTTGTTTACCTGAAGCACGGCGTACTACGGTACGCTCGTCCCTCACGCTAAGCCTTGAAATTGTGATCATGGAGAACAAAGTTGTTTTTGTTTCTAATTTATTTGTAAATTACTGTTAGTTTTTATTATTCTTTTCGTAGTAACTTAACACTTCAGTGATTTTTTATTATATTAAGCTATTTAAAGTATTTGCCTTTATTATGGTTTATACTAATAATATTATTGTAGCAGCATGTTGAGTCATTGGTCCCAAAATGTAGTACAAATTTTCATCATAATCATTGTTACATAATATCAAGATGATATACACATCGAAATGAATTACAATGTATTCTAATATGGTATCAGGAAGTCGTATTTACTGTTACAGTTCTTTGTTATTAAGATTCAAAATATAGTGCACTTTAGGCAGTATCGTGTAGGCCTTATATTCAAATCAGAAACAATATAAATTGTTGTCAGCTTGCACATTCACTTATATTTCAATACTCTTTGCCTTATTGTTAAGAAGCAACCAGTGTACCGTTAGTACCACAGATTAACACATTGTTCCCGTTAAAATATCCATGAATTTATCTATAGCAGCAGTTAATTCAGGAAATTCAAATATATGTACTTAACTAGTATTATATAAATAGTTTACAATAGTCAATAATAGTTTAGAAGTAAGACTTGAACTTTGATTGCCTTTTGTATTATTACAAATAGAGTAAAGTGACATGAAATAACTTATTATAGTGTATCTATTCGATAGCTAGCCCTGAGCCACCGTCGCTTCGTTAAATCGAATTTTGGGATCAAAATTATATTTTCTTTTCTAATTGATATCCAAATTGTTTCTTACGGGTGTAAATAGTTTGATTTATATTTAATGAAGTTACAAGTAAATCAATTTGAAATGTTGTATTTTTTATTACAAGTGCATGTATTTTTGTCGCATGTATGTACATTGTTTGGTCAACATGCTGGTGTGTTGATTATTTATTAATGAATTCAAACTATTTACACATATACCAGGGATATTAAAGTGTTATTATAAATGACTTATTTGATATAACGAGCAGCTTTACTATTTATATGTTTTAAGATGCCATTTGTTGTAACTCATGTTTTAATAATAAATTAAATTGGATCAAAACAGCTTTTTTACTTTTCCCGCACTCCACTATTTCTATATGTTGGGCGATTAGGCCTGATACATTTAAATATAAATTCATACTAGTATCTGCTTGGCCCTCCCGTGACTAAAATAGGTTTGTGATGCACAATTTTTTTAACTAATAGACAGGATAGCGGTGTGTAAAATAGTGGATATTTTACAGATGATGATGATAACTACCTCTTTGAAATACACTACATATATATTACACAATACTACATTACATTGAACTGCACGGTTGGCGCGGTGGTCGGGCAACCGGCTACCGCAACGTGTAGCGGGTTCGTTTACCGCACGAAGCAACTCTGTGTGATCCACAAATTTTTGTTTCGGCTCTGGGCGTCATGTGTGTGGGAATATGTTTGTAAACGCACCCACGACACAGGAGAATACCCTAGTGGGGTAACGTTTTACAAAAAAATAAAGCATAAAATATTAATTAACAAACAAGTCATATAGCCTAAATATAACTATCAAAGCCATATTTTAATCAGTGACCACAGAGACTTGTGTCAAGGTCCGTTTCCTTCCTGTTAAAAGTTTACTCAAGTAATCTTTTGATGACTTGTCCTAATTTACCTACTTGACAGTTGTAAATTTTGCTATATCTCGCATTCTATAGGTTTTATCAAAAAAATAACGCCACATCCGATCCCCCGTCAAAGATGTTGATATGTGCTGATTAATTAAAGGATGAGTGGGAGTGATAGTGACCTTGGCAGAAGTTGACCTGATCGAAAGCCTCCTCAGAGCATAATAGGTAAATAAAAATAATGTAAAAAAAGTCTAAAACTCAACAGATCTTTAGTCTTCTATACCTAGAATCTGCTATAGTCAAAACGAGCACCTACCTTCACTGACGGACAGACTGACAGACTATTATTTATTTTGTATTTGTTGACGTTTCAAAAGTTCCAAATTATGGTTTAATTGAAAAACAATGCTTTATCTTTGACTTCGGGTTTTAGTTGTAGAGATTGTTATGTGAATGATTGCGAAACTTTTGTTTTCCAGATAAATTACGATGAAAATTCTAAACAAACAAACCTTGTAGGCGTAGAATGACAACAATACACGTGTAGTAGACGCGGCAAAACAACGTACGATGCCTGGCCGCCATACTTTCCCACGGAAGGTTATGCTTACCTGCAGTTTAGAACTAGCATCGTTTGTCAGTCTCGACACGCTAGTAAACAAACATCACAAGTTATGCAGTTGTAACTTCAGCAGTTCATTCACCTCATAGACCAGTTTATAGCCTATAGGTATGTACCTAATAGTAAAGTTAATCAACTATTCTTTATTCGACTATTGCACCAGTTCGATGAATTCAGTATCATCTAGCATTGAAAGGATGTTTCGTAAAATGTAGGCACATTCGTAATTCTGATCTGAGTAATAAATGGAAACATGTTCAGGTAGAAGAAGCTAATTATGTCTGCGTAGAGACTAGTCGTGACCTCTGATGAAATGATGTGTTTATTTTTATAATTTTTTTGCCGTATCATAACTGTAATGTTGTATCTAAGTTAGAACCTAAGGTTTAGGTTCTATCAAGAGAAAATTTTGATAAGTCTGACTAAAAACTGCAAGTTTGGTGCGGTGGCTGGGCAACTGGTTGCCGTGCAACGTGTAGCGGTTTCGATTCCCGCACGGAGCAACTCTTTGTGTGTTAAAATAACTGATAATAATGTAATTACGCATTACGTACAATTTTTAGTACAATTGATTAAGAAGGTACTAAGTCTGGGTGTTGCCCGATGCCGCCGAACTGTAACATTAGCTACGGGCTGCCAAATGTATGTTTTAACATTGACCTTAAATAACAATTTACGTTTACGATTTGTCCCGGGGCTGTGCGCCGGCACAAATCGTAAACGTAAATTGTGTCTACGTGACTGGGGTCACCCGCAATGAGAAGATTGGGTGCAACGTCCGCCCGCATGAGACATAGATACGCAACCTTACATTATTTACTTGGTCCCTCGTTTCACATAGGACAAGGAGACGATCAAATTATGTAGAACAAAACATGTTAGATAAAAACCGTATTATTATGTTGCCTTCCCAAGTATTTTCGGAACAGGCCATATTTGAATCTTCTTTACCCCCTAAAATTACTAAGTTGTAACAACAAGCAGAAAATAAATCCTGGGAAAACGCAGCGGAAGTCTGAATTTTATAGATGCCGGAAATCTTAGAACACATTCTTAAGAGATGATCACACGAAAGGAGTTCTGTGCTAGTCGTGGTATGTGAATGAGCGACGACACGATACCATGAAACAATAACGTATGCCTACATTTGGGGATGTTTATCTACAAGGAAATATTTAAGTAATGTGTCGTACGCTCCACGGGACTGTGTGAGCGGAAGCGGACGATTGCTTGAGTCAAGTTGCGCTTTTATTATCTTAATAAATTCTGTTTCATAGCCCACGGGGACTTTAATGTGGGAATATATTTAAACAGTCGGATATGTCTTCATACTTTGTTACAGGGAACACATTGTGTAGTAAGTACCAACCGAGTGATAGTTTACTATCGGCGCTTCATAAATAACGGCTAGTTGGCGTTAAAACGTGTTAACTATCAAGCAATTAGTCACGACTGTCTAATAATTGAAATGTAAAACATCAGAATAACTCAAAATACAAAAAGAAATCACTTTTACTAACGACCTAAGAATAGTTTAAGTAGATAGAGAAGCTGATATTGTCTACACACAAAATATCGCTAGGAAAGGTGCCTACGGAGTAACTAAATAATGTTAGACATGGTTTTGGGCTAGCCAAAAAGTTAGGTGTCTCAAAATGGATGATGTTAGTCCTTGATATTTTTTTTTTACTTTAAAGGTTAATCACAGTTTAATTCACTATCAATCGTTGGGAGTAGACAAAATAATTAATTGAATCACGTGCCTAAATAAATTCAAAGTGAAGATATAAAAATACAGTTTTTGTCAAGTGGTCCTTAGTTCCTTACAACTTCGAGATCACTTGACTTAAGAGATGTTTAATTTTAAGAGCTACACAAATACTTGATGAAGCTGTTAAATAAGCATTTTGGTGAGTTCCGTTGCCGTACTTGTCGTTGGTCCAAGTCTCATATAAACAATGGTAGGTATTTCAAGTAATGATCACATCACCTTTTATCGAACATAAAAACACGACAAAGGGAACAACAGAACTTGTAACAAAGTGCAAGTAGGTGTTTATGTGTGGGAGAGCCATGCTTCGGCATGAATGGGCCGGCTCCACCGGAGTGATACCAATGCCTCACAGAAATCCG